GTTGGCGTCGTTGCCAAGTCCGGTAAAAGTTACTTGTTCATCGCATGTAATAGAGGGCATATCATTGATTGAGCATGCTTTTATTATGCTTATAGCGGCACCTGTATCAACTAGGAATGTTAAAGGCTCTTTAGAGACTGACGTTTGGACTTTAATAAAAGGTAAGTGTCTTTTTGAGGGATTTGTAGTAATGTTATGTATTTTGATATTTTTCTTTTCTTTTTCAGGAGCAGAGGAGGAAGCAGTTACAGCGTTTGCGACGGGGCTGTTTGGATTAGCATTTTTACTACTGGTGGGTACTGAGTGAGACTTTTCAGATTTAAGTTTCGACGGAGGTATAGTATTGGTAGGTCGAAGTTCTAAGCTCTTTTGATTTTCTTTGCTTTTAGGATGCAGTGAGGGTTCGGCATGTCTATGAATTTGGGGCTGGCTACCCTGTTTGTTAGACAGCGAAGATTTAGAGAAGGCAAGTCCATGAATTTGGGGCTGGTTACCCTGTTTGTTAGACTGCAAGGATTCAGAGAAGGCATGTCTATGAATTTGGGGCTGGTTACCCTGTTTGTTAGACTGCGTGTTTGATTTACTAGGATTCAGTGATTGTGATGTGGTATCGAGTTTAGTTTTCTTTACTCCCGCACGATACCAGACGAGAGAGCCATTTAGTTTAAATCATTGTTGTCAGTTTCGTCGACACCATCATCATCATGAGAATTTATGTTATTAATAGGCTGACGTCTCTGGAAAGACGTATTAGGATTTTCGCGAGCAGGTTGATTGAATTGAGAAAACCGCCTATTATTATATTCGCGTTTGCGACAAGTTTCAATGTTGTGTCCCGGGATTTTACAATATCGGCACACAGAAATAGGATTCGACCCGAATGAAGGTTTTGGTTGATAATCTGACGGACGATTAGGCTGTCGCGGGAATGGCCTATTATTTTGTTGTGGACGAGGACGCGCATAGTTTTGAAATGAATTAGCGTTACAGCGCGTCGTGGCTAAAAGAATTTTTTCTTCGGAAACCGCGAAGTTAATAGCGTCATTCAATGTTTCTGGATCGCGGCATCTAACAACTGTTGAAAGTTGAGGATTAAGACCGATAATGAACGTGTGTAAAGCGAGGTCTTGCATAGCGGCGACACGACCGGCCAGTTCACCTTTTTTCTTAGTGGGAATGGAAATATTAATTTCTGTCAATAGTTTTGACAGGCATGACTCAATTCGTAATGCAAACTGGTTGGCCGTTTCACTGGATAACTGTCTGCAATCTTGCAATTCAGAAAGCAGGGCAGCGTAGTGCTTGCGTTCACCGTATTGGGATTTTAAAAAGTTTTCAAGTTGTTCCCAGTTTTCAAATTCTTTAATTGAGCAAGCACTCTCTGCTTGGCCTTCGAGTTGGCTCAGGATATATTTGAGCAGTATATCCTCCTGAGATGAAGAAGCTAAGTTGATTGCATTCCGGCAATTGTTAAGGAATGCATTTAATTTTTCTCTACTTCCGTCGTATTTGTTAATGAATTTAATTAAAATATTTAAATCTATTTGTGACATTGTGGCGGAGATGGGTGTTAGTGTCTTTGTCTGCCCAGTTTCTTCTTTAGTGTCTTTAGGCATTTAGGAAGTTATTCGTTCACAAATAGAATCAAATAATTGCACTGGATAAGTAACAAAGTAACAAAATTAATAAAATGTAAAACAAAATGTATAAGAATAAAACAATAGAGTCCGATTGAAACAATGGCTTCACTTACAGCAACAATGTTGCGGCGACGGCGACGACAGGATGCCTTGATTGCATTCTTGTATGATAAGAATATTTCACGGAATAGTTCACGGAGTATTTCACTAATATAATTCTATTTTTAGAATAGAATTAAGCACTTTCACAGATTTTAATACTATTTTCGCACTTTTCACAGGATTCGGTTTTCTTTTCAGGATTCGGCGGACTTCACAGTATGATACAAATTTTCTTTTCAGGCTACTGGATACGGTGATTTTTTTCTTTCAGGATTCAGTGGACTTCTGATTAACGTTGACCACCTTTATGATGAGTCGAGCACACCACGGAATAGTATATGAATATTCACGGTTTACACGATGGAACTTTGTTTAGGAGACGGTACCGAGGATGAACTTTTCATCCCTTTACGCTGCCACCAGTGTTATACGGGACTTGAAGATTGTCTTTTTAAAAAAGGATTTGAAATATATAACACGTTTTATTAGAACAATACTCAAAACCGACTTCGATGGTGGTTGCGCTGCGACTGACTGGCCAACCAACCTGAGCACGGGCGTCTGGGTTAGATTGCTCAGTCAGCAATTTGGGCGACACGACTCAGCACTAACCCCTACAACGACAGGGTATAACAGTTCGCAACAAGTAGCAGATCTACTTCACGATATGGACTTTCATCCCGGTGTTTTCGGTCAGCTTCGCCCTTGCGCAAGTCTTACTGATGCTCGTGTCTCAATCAGATTTTCTGGAATGAATTCACGAAGTCCTTATATAGGGAGTAATCTGGGGAACAAAGTCAGACTCTTCCACAATGTTGCGGATGTCATTCAATATATTTATTGGAGAACGCAATTCGCGACTAAAAGTTAGATAGGTTGCATTATGACCGCTAGAATGATTTGACGCGGTATTGAGAGCAAATCTTACGGCAGTGTGGCGACTGATACATAGCGACATCTAACTCATCGCACTAACATCGCCACAACAATTGAAAGAAGACTAGCATCGTCACAGCCATCGATAGCAAGGCGAATTGCAATAAGTTTCAATATCAAGTAACGAGATGGCGCTGTACCAATACAAACTGCATAAATTAATAACTAAAAAACATTTAGAACAAAGAAACCTACATGGCACAGAATAAGTTTCATTACCAATTAACATAAATAAAACGTCCAACCTACATCGGTTGGACCGCGGTCCCCGGGCTAACAACACCTAGCTCGGAGGAAAGACACTTATCCTTTAGTCTCCCTGGCCAGTTGTCTCCATCATCAAAGTAGGAACCAATCTTCAACGTTACGGTTCCTAAAGCAGCAATATGTTTAGGCCAACATAGATTTCATGTCTCTGTTTTTATGTTCTGCTAGCTTGAGGATGATATGCTGGAGTCAAATTTTGAGTAATCCCAACGCGAGCATTACCTTCTGCATCACAGCAAAAACAAATTGTGACCCGTTATTAGAGATCACTCCGCGTGGCAATCTGTATCTTAGCTTAAACTTTGTTTAAACTTCATCAACTAAGGTACTGAGCAAACTTTAGCAGTGGCATCCAGAAGAGAGAACAGTTCCACCCATCTGGTAGCTACGTCTTCGACCAAATATATCAATTTTCCGCCGTTTTTGCCTTCAGGAAGAGTACCAAATAGATCCATGGCTAAAATTTGGAATCTGTGATGCATAAATGGGTTTGCAGAAGTCCAGAAGGTTTCAAGTTGTTTGGCTTAAATGCTTGACATGGATCGCAAGATTTCAAATATTGGGTAGTACATGGTGGCGCATTTGCGTGACGAAGTGTCTTTCTTTGATTTTCTTTAGTGTTTCAAACACCTTGAGATACATAATACCCACGGTCAGTCCATCTGATGAATCCATTATCTTCAAAATCAATTTCAGGATCTTACAACAACAAAATAGGGCAAGCTTTACATTGTAGATTGTCATTGTCAACTGTTTGGTGAACCAGTCGGCCGAGTGTCAGCCTCTACGTTACATTTTCCAGGTGTACAGATAACGGCTAACGCTTCCCGCTCGGTAGCCGAGTAATTACATTCAACGGAGGTTAATCATCGACTCGATTATTCAATCGGGCGTTCATCATTAACACCCAAGCCTTGCATCAAGATGGCGCCTAAAGCATAGGCGCTGGCATTTGTGCGTAAAATGAATTGTGTTGAAAAAAAAAGGTTGACGAATAATTGGAGCAGAGGTAAGTTTTCTTTCAGGTCCACAAAAGCTTTATATTGTTCTTCGCCCCAACTGTGACATTCTTTCGCTTAAGCAAGGCTGAGCTACATCGGCAAACCTAGGGATGAACTTTCTTAACCAGGAACAGGTTTGCAGAAATGATTTTAGTTTTTTCAGGTTAGATGGTGGTGCCATCTGACATATGGCGTTGAATTTATCAAGGTAAGCCTGAATACCTTGCGGAGGTATAATATGCCGAAGATAAATTATTTTATTCCGAGCAAACATACACTTGTTTCTATTCGCCCTAAGACCAAAAAGATTTTTCGTAGGTCTATTCTAAATTGTTAGACACCACCAAAATATCATGGACGTAGTACAATACACTTCTTAAGCCCTGATCTAAACCCATCCATAAGGCGCTGGAACGTCGATGGAGTATTCTTTAAGCTAAACGGTATCCGAACGTTCCGAAGGGTGCGGTGACAGCTGTCTTGTGGCGATCATCTTGAGCTATATTTACCTGCAAGTATTCTGCACCAAGTCTAGGGTAGATATTACACAATTAGTCTTCGTTGACAATAAGAGATCATATATAACTGGGAGAGGGTACTTATCTGTCCGGGTAACGACGTTGAGCTTCCTGTAGTCCACGCAAAAGCGCATCTCACCATTCTTTTTTGGAACTAAAACTATTGGCGCTGCCCATCCAGATTAAACCTTTTCTATAATCTCCTCTTCTAGCATTTAAGTTTCGAACTTTTCAAATTTCAGTTTTTTAATATGTTCGTTAAAAGGAACGGAAATGACTGTCTTTGGTCCATTCTTTTCCTGCAAAAGTCAACTTTTGCTAGAGTCGCCATCTAGTGGAGGAGCTTTTATTGTGCTTTCGTTTTTTTTTAATACTTCCTCATTCTTTTCTCTTCTTTGGTTTGTCATGAATTAACATTTAGATTTTACAATTTGTACTACCATCTAGTGAGATAAATTGTTGTAGTTTTTTGTAAATACTTCCTTATTAAAATGACATGGCTGTATGGGCTTAGTCACCCTTGCCTTCTCTGCTATGGGAAAGCTAAAATTTGACAAAAACTCTTTGGTCCGTACTTTTTTCTTTGTTTGTTGCGTGCGTGATAAATTTAGAAAATTGATAAAAAAGCAATAGCAGTATTAATTCAAATCTTGCACAACACATTTCTCTATATTTATTAGAAACGCTAACATAGTATAAGGTAAGAAATGCTATTTTTTTAAATAAAAGATTATGAAAGATGGCGTCAAGTATTCCGTAGAATAACATATCTATATTTATTTTTATATTTAGATGCCGAATATTAAGCTTCAATCATCAGATAATGAAGTGTTCGCTGTGGATATTGAGATCGCCAAATGCTCAGTTACTATTAAGACTATGTTAGAAGATCTCGGCGTTGACGATGAAGAAGAAGAAGTGGTGCCACTGCCCAACGTAAATTCAGCTATTCTCAAAAAAGTTATTCAGTGGGCGACATACCACAAAGATGACCCACCTTTACCAGAAGATGATGAAAACAAAGAAAAGAGAACAGATGATATTTCGTCATGGGATGCTGATTTTTTAAAAGTAGATCAGGGTACACTGTTTGAACTCATTTTAGCTGCTAATTATTTAGACATCAAGGGATTGCTCGATGTAACCTGTAAGACGGTAGCTAATATGATCAAGGGTAAAACACCAGATGAAATTCGTAAAACTTTCAACATCAAAAATGACTTTACAGCAGCTGAAGAGGACCAAGTACGCAAAGAAAATGAATGGTGTGAAGAGAAGTAAATCCAGAACTCCATACTGTAATATCAATTAACTATGTTTTCTATATAGCTTGTTTGTATTATAGTGGCATAGATAACATGAATTCTGAAGTATTTGTGTTGCAGGACTGTTTATAACAGTCTTATCTTGAAAAATGTGTTTCATATATAAATATCTATGCACATTCATCAAACAAAATTCTTTGAAATTAATGTTATTTAGTGTTATTGGTTTTAAATGACTTAAGTTTCCACATCTGATCTATGTAACATAAAATCTTTAATTATCTAATTAGAGGAATGGCTTGATAATGTCTACTTCAAATAAATCTAATACTACACATATTATTAATTTTATTATATAGGGGATATTAATAGCCATATTAATACTTTTTCATTTTATTTATTTAGTAGTGTTCTTGCAGTAGTTATCTGTACTAGTGTCATTTTGTTATTTTTGCTGCTCCACTCTTATTGTCATAGAGTGATATTATACAGCTTGTAGCCTTTCTTTATAAATGAGACTATGTAACACAATATAATATTTTAATTTGAACCAGAAGTTCTTAAGGTTAGCATGTTCAACTAAACAAACACTTCAGCTATATCATATTAGTATAGATAGACCAGCCAACAATCGGTTTACAAAAAAGAAATTTTAAGAATTCACACATTACACATTTAAACTATTTCGAATCAGAATGTCTGTAAATTAGTATATTCTCCCCCATCTCATATTATTAGCCTGATACAAATACGAGACAAACGGAAATAATTCGATATAAGCTTGGAATATTTTTAATCGAGTTTGTGAGCCAATTACAAGAGACTATATTTAAGAATCAGTCTCATTTTAGCTGCGGAAGGTATAAAAAAAACATCAAGTCAAAAAACCTTCATTTCCTTCACATAAAATTACTAACACGTCTTTTTTCACAAATTTTGGTTTTATTTATCATAGTGACAATGAAAATTACTGAAATCCAACTAAAAAATTTACAGGAAATAGTTTTTTTTAAACTTTTTTTTAGTAGTTTTAACTTTTATTTAAAGTATTTCTGTTTTTTTTTTTTATTTTTAGTAGTGTTCAACTCAAAAGTCTGCTGCATATATTGCGTGTTATATTTTTGCTTCATAAATAATTATAAGGCTATTGGTAAGCAATGTTTCCATGGAAATTTTCATTGGATTCAAAACAAAATATACTTAACGCAATATAATAATATCGATTGAAGTCGTATGTCATTGTTAATATTATTGATTTTTTACAAATATTTTTTAAATATTTATTGGCCGTGTTATATAAAAATATGAGTTTCTAAATATAATATTAGGAAGATTATGTATTTCATGGAAGTAACACAAGTAACAGCGTGAAAATACGTAGAAGTCACTTTATATGTAGTTTGCTTATCATGCCATTGAGAAATTAAAGGAATTTTATTTTTTTTACTAATAATCCGAAAGAACATGTCGTTGGATTAATTCATATATTAAAAAGGTAATCATATATTTCCTTTTTACTTCCTACCCTCATAATAAAAAAAAAACAGCTGTTATGTTTTAATGTTTGATCTCCATACCAGGCTATTTATGAAACTTTTATACTAGTTATTTATGGATAATTGGATATTCAGTAGTTTCATTTATGGTTATGGAACTCTGAATCCCTAGTGTTATCTTCAATGTCCTAAGTTACAGTGCAAGTTTCTTTATATGAAGATTGTGGAATGGGTAATTTATTTGTGGTTTAAAAAAAACTGAATAGAGTGGTATTGTTTTGCATGCATTACAACCATTGGGGTTAATTTCAAGTGAAATTGGAAGCTAGTTTGGGTATGCCGTCGCTTTCAAGATACCATTATTTTTCAACGATGGGCATAACCATATTTTAAAAGTGCCCGTCAGTGCCTGGCCTCTTCGATTTTCAAAAGGGATTCTTAACCCAATTCTTTTAATAAATATGAAATCTTTTTGGGAAATAAATTTATTTAATTTATTTATTTAACTCTGTATTTATTATACCCAAGAACATTCCAGGACATCATTTAATTCCTTATTCAAGAGTCTGGGACAGCGAGCAGCGATAAATGGCTAAAGTAAATACTTTAACAGATATTGAAGAAATAGTGTGACGCTACTGGGCTACAACAGTCTTCTAGCGGCACGCTATATATTTTCAAAATTATATCGCTTTAGTTCATTATTTTAAAAAATCTAGTCATTTTAGCATGAGTTCATAATAAATTTTTGACGTCCTGCGAGTATCCACCATGAAGTGGAATACATTATGCAAATGATCTTTGCAGTAACATATCTAGTGATTTACCACTATTCGAATTATTGTGACTAATTACTGTTGTAACGCCTGCAGAATTCTATTAGCAGATGGCAACCATTTTTTATGGTGAAATCATACCAAAGGCACACTCGGTAATAACAATCCGCCATTCATTCATTACGCATTTGACTAATAGTTTATGTTATTTATTCCACTTCATGGTACTCAGAGTAGTGAATACTCGCAGGATATCAATAAATTTAATATTAAATGAATTCATGCTAAAAATAAATTGATTTTTATTTCTTTATTACCTGGAAAAGTATTTACTTTGGCCATTTATTGCTGTGTCTCAGACTCTGGAATTATGGTATTAAATGATGACTCGGAAAGTTTTAAAGAATTCATTATTCTAGCTGTGGCTCTACTGGAATGACGTCAGCCTAGCACCATTACAAAGACTCGTCTGTCACCGAAACTACATAACTTGTCCTCATTTCGTAACAGATTGATAAATAAAGAGATTAGATTAATCAAAAATTAATAACAAAATCGAAGAGGGTGGCGCTACTTAGGGAATGCAATCTCGCGAAATTGGGACTCGGTCGAGATCTCGCGAGTTTATGAATATCAATATCGCGAGATCTCGCCAATTACGAGATTTCGAGAGAATGGCACTTTCGTGTGTTTACTGTTTTACTGTAATATTTATTCAAATCACAATATTTGAATGAAATAGGAAAAAATATAGGAATTATGAAATATATTTTTTTATGAATATTTTCAATAAAGTTTTATGTATTTAACTTTGTTTGACGTAATAAAGAAGTATTAAAAAAAACGAAAGCACTAAAAAAGCACCTCCACTAGATGGCGACTCTAGCAAAAGTTGATTTTTGCAGGAAAGGACTAAAGTCCGTAATTTCCGTCCTTTTCACTAACATAAAAAAACTGAAATCGGAAAACTTCGATACTTAGATATCAATACAAATACGAAAAAGTACAAATAGAATATGAGTTGTAAGAAAACCGGAAGGATTGTCATGGAGAAATCAATAACGTACCGTAGCGTCATCTACTTTGATTTCAGGAACTGATTTTTTTTTAAATACTTCCTCATTATATTTTCTTTTTATCTAAAACCTTTAAAAGATCAATTAACAAAATATACCAATCAATTTAAAAGCTTATTCAGTTCACTTCACACATCATTATTACAAATAATTTTGAAAGTAGCTTCATAAGAAACAAAAAATATAAAAAATAATAATCAGCCAGTGAGAAGACCCTTTTGAAAACATAAGAACTGTTAAAGTGTAAAAACTTCGCCTTTTAATCCCCCGGTCTCACATAAATTCGCACTGCCGCTCTTGTTCGAGTGCAATCTTGTTAATTCCCGCCCATTTTTCGAGTTTCAATCTCGCTAAAAAGGCCGAGATCTCGCGAAAACGAGATTGCATTCCCTAGCGCTGCTAGCCTGACTATGACATAACTGAGTCAACACTTTTCATTATGATATTCATTTAGGTAATTACTGATTGTGAAAAACAAAAATTCTCTTTACCGATGAAAAAAAATTACAATCGAGGAGCACTACAACAAACAAAATGATTGACTGTATGCACACAGCTCTAAAGAAGCTTCCGGGGTAGTGGCCAAAGTTCAGCGAGGCCATCATCCAGCATACATCATGGTTTGGTGGGGTGTCTCCTACTAAGGAGCTACATAACTCCATTTTTGCGAAAAAGGTGTGAAAACTTCAGCCAAAGTGTATCAAGATACCGTGCTATTTAAATCTCTCAACAATTTACAAAAAAGAAATTTTAAGAATTCACACATTACACATTTAAACTAATTCGAATCAGAATGTCTGTAAATTAGTATATTCTCCCCCATCTCATATTATTAACCTGATACAAATACGAGACAAACGTAAATAATTCGATATAAGCTTGGAATATTTTTAATCGAGTTTGTGAGCCAATTACAAGAGACTATATTTAAGAATCCATCTCATTTTAGCTGCGGAAGGTATAAAAATCAAGTCAAAAAACCTTCATTTCCTTCACATAAAATTACTAACACGTCTTTTTTCACAAATTTTGGTTTTATTTATCATAGTGACAATGAAAATTACTGAAATCCAACTAAAAAACCTTATTCAAAAACGAAGTGTGGACATTCCAACAGGATTCAGTCCTACCCAAATTTGACTTGATCAAATGTTTCAGACTTCATAAAGACTTCCTCCTTCCTTCGGCTAGTCCGGAATTAAACCCTTTGGACTATAAATTGTGGTCTGTGCTAGAGGACACGGCCTGCTCTAGGCGTCATCCAAATATTGAGTCGCTCAAGAAATCTTTGAAGGCAGCATTGACCAAGTTTCCAATGGAAACCGTTCGTAAATTAATCGACGAATGGCCCGAACGTTTAAAAGCGTGTGTTAAAGCTAACTTTGAATAACTAGTTTAGTACGTTAACATATCTTTTTCACTCTACATAATCACACAAAACTTTAAAATACAATTAAGAAAATGTAAATGAGGTAGACTTCGTCTTAAAAAATGCCTACAAGGACTTGGTCCTAGATATTGTTGGTGACTGATCAACGAGAATAAGACATCAGAAAAGAACTCATTATTAATGAGTAAAAAAGTCATTAATATATACAATCGCACAACTATAGAGAAATAAATAAAGCTTGCATTAAGAAACGGAAAATAGCAGAAAACAATCCTTAGTATCTTTTCTGAGACTCAATCAAATAAGTTGATACATATTATCAATGTCATCTGATGAATATCATGGCAAAGACATTTATCGGTACTCAAGAAGAAGTTGTAGAAAGAGTCACAAGGAAACACAAGAAACTGAAAAAGATAGTCCGCGGCTACATACGAATATCGTAATATCTGAGATGTCGCCTAGAAACGAAGACAGAAACGAGGGAACCTGCCGTATAAGTGCACCTGGATGCAGTTGTGATTTAGATCCCAACGGAGACATAGCAAATATTTTACACAAGAAATGTCCAGTTATCAATTTAGCACAACAGCAACTACAGCGTTTATTAGATGAAACTGATAAATTGTTATGTGATAATACAAGGTGCTGCAGGTAGTGCATTTTTTAACCATGTTTAGAATAAGAAGGTAATAATATTTACTTACCAATTGCTAAGAAATTGTATTTTTTTTTCAGATCTGTTTACGACTTCCTTTGTATTTGTAGAGACATATTCATGAAGCAGAACAAATGCCGGTGTGCATTTGTGGCTCTCGTCACTGTTGTTTTTATTGCCGGCGTATTGGTTGGCGCTGGCACTTGTGGTTCTTATCTAGGAAAATTCAACAGTCCCATCCTTACTTGCATAGATAATTTCTTTATCCCTGCCTCTTACTCGACTGTGAGAGATACTTACCTAAGCATAACTTAATGTAGTGTTGTAATAATGGTAGACGCATTACTTACTTCAAACGCTTGAATAGAATCCAACTTTTTAATTGAACTAAACATAAACTAAGGTACCTATAGAAGCCTAGATTATATCTGGCCCATGCCGCGTATCTCTATGCATGGGTAAGTAATATAATCATCAGTCTAGGGCCCGATCTAAGGAGGGTAAAAATAAGAGGATGGAAAAAAATTGAGGAAGTTCTCAATTTTTCTTAATTTTTCGTAATTTCTTACGAAATATGATACAACTTTCCAAGACCAACAAAACAAAGAATTGAGAATGAGACAGGAATATTGAATTTTTTGATGACCATCACCACCCCATATTTAGCATAACAAGCTCATATTGATTGCCATATTTGGTGAAAATGTTAAGGGTTTAGTCTAAAAGTATTACTTTTGCCGGGAGTGGCTTACTAATTAGAGCGGGCCCTAATTCGTCATCTACATACATATAAAACCGATCCACGCGGCACGGCGTAGACCACATATGTAGGCTTTACACATTACACCATCAAAACGTAAACTCCAATCATTGATTTGTGATTTTTTGTAAATGCGATTTAATATGAAAGATTTTTTTTAATATATACCTAAGCTACTGTTATAAATATTTACATTCTCGAACATAAATACATAGTCTGAGAAATATGTTATAATGATTTATTTTTACCGCGCCTGGGGCAAGTGGGGCACTTGCCTCGGGCACCAGTGTCAATGAGGCGCTAAAATCGCAAGTAAAAAAAAAAGATTTTTAATCGATCATGTTTTTAAAGTCCCTACTTAAATAAATTAAAAGAAAAAAGCAAAAACACTCACACCAAATCATGATTCGGCAGTTGTTCCGCATTATACATGAAACGAAACAAAAATACTCGTAATAAAGTTCACTTAATGAACTTTTTTTCACGATTTGGAGGAATGCTAATAATATCTAGGTTATAATATAAAAGTAATATATTACTATTAATAAATCATTAAATAATGTGAATTTTAACAACGACAATGTTTTGTATTGAATGGAGCCATTCAATTGCACGCCTAGTTTTCTAATTGAACCATAATGACATTTGGACCGTTCAAAAACGGCAGATTTAAAAGATTTAGGAGCCAGTTAAAATGCGTTCTTTTCATTATAGTCACCGTTTTACTATTTTGTCTATTCTACTACGAATTCGAACACACCTTCTCTTTTGATTCCCCATTGCCTTTTAAAAGTAAGTACCGCTAATTAAACCAAGTTGGCAAATTTCTATGTCGTCATGGGCATTGCAACTTATGACTGAGAAATAGTTAATCGTACTGAATCGATGCAAACAAATATACCTAATGAGTAATGCGCATTAAGGAAAGAAAATACAGATAAGTAGGTACCACTGAGGTCAACGCTATAATAAAGACGTAATCAAGTCACATTCGTGCTATGCGTTACATTTAGCTTGTCTATCTATTTATACATTATTCACAAGATAAATAATAAAAATGATATGGTATTTCAGTCTCCGTCTTTCTCAGTCCCCAAACGATTGATGCATGAACTTCTTTGAGTATTCGTAGACGACGAATAAAGCGGCTGTTGCGGGTATAGTCCTCACAAGAGTTGGTTTCAAGCCATTGTATAAAGCCAACATACCTGAAACATAAACGACGTTTGAGGAAGTTGCAGCCAGGGTTGTCTGTCTCGAATTTTCGGGACAGTCCTGATTTCTTATTAATTTTGTCCTGATATTTGATAATTCTCGACAATCACTTCGTATGTGCGGTAACTCTCTAGCCATATGATACGATATCATATCGATGTTATGCCGATATTTCGATTAATTTTACTGCTTTGAGATATACTTTAGTAACGACGAACGAACCATAAAGGATTATGATTATGGATTTGATAGTACTGTTATCAACTTAGTCATTTATCTCAAATTATACACCAAACGACATGTCAAATCAGTAACATGAAACGAAATATCGTCATAACATCGCTAAAATGCCGTATCCTATAGCTAGAGAGTTAGGCGGTCGTTCTGCAGGTTCCGCGCCGATGCAATCCGCATCCCAATTCCAAAACTTATTTAATAATAGTAATTTTAAACATTATTCAAGATTGAAGAAATAGAACTAACACATAAATGCGATTATAGAACAAATGACGACTTTATCGCTTAAGAGCAATCTCTTTCATGCACTGCATCTTTCATACATGCACTGTATTTATTTTAGAAACTATTAAATTATAGATTTTAATATAGATAAAGAAACTATTAAATTATAGAATTTAATATAGACTTTAATATAGATTTGTACTTAAATATTTAAAACTCAATTAATTACTGTTACAATTCAAATATTAATTTTTCTTTTTATCATATTTGATCTTTTTTTAAGTGCTTAAAATAATATTTATTTTATTTATAATATATTTTAGTTACTGCACGAGGAAATAGATCCGATAATGGACACACCAGTTTTTTTCTACTAAAATTCTAAGCCATATTTTTGTGCGATGATTACATATAATGCTTGAATTATTTAATATTTAAGTTTTTATAGCAAATTCGACTATGCTATGACTATACTCACTATGATATCTTACCTTCATTTTTAATTATTTCGTAACCGACTGTTAAAAATTTTTGTGGCTCCCTAGAATTTGAAATTTGTACTCTAGATTTTATGACGTCAGTAGGAAATATAACCGTCCAAAGTACTAGGCCGCCGACGGCTCCCGCTATCATAGTTCTAAAGAAACCTATGTCATCCTTGGACTGTCCAGGCTTTTTTAGCAATTCTCTCGTTCCTGAAAATATTTTACCGTTCAATAAAATATACCATTATTCGATAGAACATGTATAGAAACTATTAGGTTTTTTAAATCTGATTCGATGGGTGTCACCCAATATATGTTAGGATGGGCCAGTTCTCTCCTTTTCGACATCGAAAGGTTAGCAACAGTACTGATTAGAGGAAAAAAAGCTAATTTTATAGATTTCTTATATATATTTTCTACACTATGCTCTTGAAATGTGGTGCTGGCGTCGGCTGCTGCGGTTTCGTTGAAATCAAAAATAACCCAAAATTTGTAAAAATATCTATCAGTTCAGTCTGTGTTTTGTTGCCAACTGCACGTTGAACTGTTTTTGAAAGCATACTTGATCACTTTATTATTAAACAGTAAGCATATATATATATATATAAATCTACACTTCATAATGCTTCATCTAAAGAAAACAAAAAAATACTGCCAAGAAATACATTTACGCACAACCAGATTAAAAATTCTAGTGACCATATTGACAAACGGAGATTAAGATTGGATACTTCATTAGCTTTTCTTTAAAATATATAATTTTTTATAAATAAAAAAAAACTTAAACGTGCATGATTCGATTTTAAATTAACAAACACCTTTAATTGCTTTAAGTATATACTGACCCAAAATAACTTTGGCATAATTTTGAGCATATTGATTTAATAAAAAAATATAATGTGAAAGACAGATATTATTTAATTTTAGCAATGTCATGTTTTAAAAAAATCATCCCTTTCATTGGTTATTAGAAAGAAGCAAATACACCTATTTTTTTATAGACTTCAATATATTAAATAACAAATTATCATAACTGTATTTTAAAGATAATTCATATATATCTGTATAATTAATAAATCGTTTACGTATTGCATTTTGTGCTATCTGTACTTTCTATTTTCAAATGACGTCACGCGGGTGTCATTTGGACAATGTTTCATTGCGTTAGCAATTTGCGGGTCTTGATGATAAAATACATAATTAAGGGCTCTTTCTACCTTCATATCCACCAAAAAAGAAGAAATATCCTGGCATTTCTCGCATGATAGTAGGCACCAAGCCCCTGAATAAGCCTTGTATGCCATATTGTCTAAATATTTGTTGCGTCAACTGCAGGGGCGTCACTTTGACCTGTTATCGAAAATAGAGATAACGACAGCAACTATACATTAGATAAGGCGATGATATGACAATTACGCTTTAATCAATAGATGAGAAAAATAAATAAGTAATAAATGTATAGTGCTATTTCCATTTCTTGTACTATTTTTTAATTTGAATCTTATCTATCTACTTAAAGATTTTTATCTTATATTTTTTATCTTTGTACTTTTATGTATTACTAATCTAATTACTTAATTGTTTTTGCAAACATTATTATGTATTTCCAGCAAAATTACTTTACTTTAATTCAGGAAAAATTGTATTGAAAAGTAAATAAATTAATGAATTTTTAAACTACATTATCTTACAATTAACGCTATATCTCTCAATAATGTCGGATCACAAAAATCTATTTTTACTTTTTATTGCACTGGATTATTTGCGATGACATTATTTGAGAGTTTTATATACCAAAATAAGTCACCCTACAGCCGTTTGAGAACTTTGCACATTGACTTCTCGCATAGCTTGTAACTGGCATTTAATTAATTCAGTTGGGCACAAGGTGAATGAAGAGAAGAATGCAGCCAAGAAACCTGCTGATGCATTCCCTAATGCAGACAGTTGCTCTACACTCTGAAATGATTATATTAACATAAATAACTACACAACTTTTACGTTGATAAAAGAAAAAGCACAAACAGATACTATAAATATACCTCCGTGCCAGTTATGTTGCAAACAAATTTTTGACAATAACCATATGCTGCAAATAGAACACTGTTTTCAGCAACATTAGCCATGATAGCTGGTGTTGTGCCAGCATATAATCCTCTAATGATTCCATCATTTCTTAAAGTTTGTTTTAAACAATCATACATTCCTTTATATAAATGTGGAAATGTTTGCATTTTTACTTTGACAGTGTCTAGTGGTTGACCCACATATACCACAGCTACTCCGCCTGTTGATTAAAAATATTTTATAAAAAAATTAAAGTAACAATAGTCCTTGGATATACAAGCTGGAATACAATTATAATGTTAGTTATTTTTTTTTATTAAACCTCACCAAGTGATCCCGCTGTAAAATCAATTAACCCATTTTTAAGATTTCCTGTAGAACTTGAAGAATGTGTCATTTTTAGCCTTGATCTGAAATAGTAAAAGAATATAGTGGAGATAGTGTCTACTGCTACAATGGTTCGATTTGAAAATCTGGCAGTCCTTATGGACAAATAATTAACCATGAAAACAAAATAATGATGGCACTTAATAATTTATTCTGGAATGTGCAGTTATAGCATGTCCAGGTTAAAAGGCCAAGTCTAGCTAATCAACTATAAGTGTTGAACTGCTGCAAGTTCAAAATTGACTATAGAATTTGGCCTTTTGTAGTAACCTAATGTACTGGCTGTATGTAGGCTTAGAGAACACAAAACGGGTATAGTAGAAACACGTCCTGGTTTTATGGACATAACCAAAGATCACCATCAGATTCATTAATAGTAATTGTTAGAGTACTTACATATGTAATTTTAATACGAATAAATAGTGTAAATTTAATTATTAACCCTGGTGTATTTTTCTAAATCTTTCAAATAATTTATTGAAAGATTATTGTAAAATAATATTTGATTTTATTATTTTGAATGATTATAGAGTAAATTGGCATAAATTATTTCATGTACTAGTGTATATATAACTTTATGGTTTTATACTTACAAAATTAATGATCCCTAGGTTTTTTTTAACTTTTTCGCGGTAGAGGCTTGGTAGAGGCACAAACAAAAACACGTGAAACAAGAGCAAGTTGAGACCAAATACCTAGTAAAGTAGTTTGAACTCATAGATTTGAGTTGAGTGTAAACGAGAATCTCTATGGTTTAAACTAAAGTCAAAAGACATGCATGACTTATATGTCTGTCAAAAAGTTAAGCAGTGTTGCCGGTCTACTGGGACATTTAGAGGAATAGATCATCGCCATCTTTCATTCATTTCATTTAAATTTTACATGTAGAAATTTATTTATTCACTCGACAAAAGAAGAAGAAGGGTCATTTAGAACCATTTTATAACAAGAACGCATTATATTATTTACAGAGAAGTACAAAATCTCGACTGATTATTCTCAATAACTTAAGTTTTTACTTTTCATAAGACAAAAAGTTATAGTTTTTGTCAATTGCTATGCACTGATCATTAAAAAATTAAAATTGAAAACGAAAACTCGTTTAAGTACAGTTTGAGACGTGCTTAACTTTGAATACTCAATTCAGAATCCGGGCTATAGCCCGGATTCTGAACCCACTATAGTGGGTCGATAATAATTTGGTGGCTATTATTTTAAACGTTTGATCGGTTGTTTAGTTATCGCTAGATGCATGATAATATCAAATAACCATATTTGATATATATAACTGTAGGATCAAAACCAAAGACCACGAAGGATTAAATCAAAGAGAATACTGCTATCTTAAGTTGAGTCCACATAATAATATCTTTAGCAGCGACTCACTAGGGATCGTATTAATTAATATTAGGAGCTACTAAGGTTAGTGCGTAACTATGTACAGATTGATACCCGATGGTAAAATAGAGAAAGACCAGGGAGCTTATAGGTCACATGAGTTTATTTACCACCAAAATGTATACTTTATAAAATACAATCAGCACTGACAATAGCTTTATGAAGAGTGACTTTTCTATAATAACAATAGACGCGCATATGCAAAACAGATTGCCAAATGTTAATATTCAAATTAATTAACAAGACCTTAAACCAAGAAGGTCGGGAGCAAAGCAGTCTCCCTCAACACAGGTAAGATTATAAATGAGGAAGTATTTATAATAAAAAAAAACGAAAGCATTAAAAAAGCACCTCCACTAGATGGCGACTCTAGCAAAAGTTGATTTTTGCAGGAAACAAATAGACCAAAGACAGTCATTACCGTTCCTTTTAACTAATATATAAAAAAATGAAATTTGAAAAGTTCGAAACTTAGATACCAATACAAATACTTCGGGGTGCTTTTTAAGTGCTTTCGTTTTTTTTAAATACTACCTCATTGTCTTAATCCTAAGCCTGCCATGAATATGCCAATATGTAACTTTTTAGCTTTTTTAAGCATTTGTAAAAAACGAAACAATATAATAAAAAACGCTTTTACGAGGGATGACCTCTTACCAATATTTGTTGTGTAACTACAAAATTACTAAAAGACCACGTAAAAGACGCAGGAGGATATCAATAAATGAAGTGTGGGCAGTGTGTCAAAAACACGTGGATATATAGGCATTAAGCTATTCACGCTTACCAGTGGCGCAGCGTAGTGGGGGCAGGGGGATGGCCCAGAGGGCCCCAAAATTTCATAGTAAACAATAATATATATTTTTGAATATTTATTTGAGCTAATTCATAAACTCGGGCCGAATTTTTAATTATTTATTTATTATGATGAAAAGAGCTCGAAATATTTGTTACTTATTCTGTGATGAATTCGGAGAATACCCTTTCTTTAAATGATATTTTGTAGCAAATGACACAATATATACTTACTTAAGGGGATTCCCCGTATTTAAATTTGTGCTTGGATTGTTTATGACTTATAATCAGCAAGAATGACTTCTATTACATAAATATGAAGTTCAATATTGGTTATTACGGCTCTTTAAGAAACCACGTGATGCCTTGACAATTCAAATAAAGTTTTATTCATGGATCTTCAGAAGTTTAGTTCATATTTTTTCTATTTCAATTTTTTTGTTGTTTTTTAAAAGACAAGCCCGCTTTTTAGAATACAAGTCCTGTGTTGCGAGCGACAAAGTACACCCAGACAAAGAACAATTATTCATAAATCACACGAGAAATTGTCCTTTGTGGGGATCAAATCACAATACTCGATCTGTGGGCAGTTGCATGGCGACAAATAAACCACGTGACCAAAATAATGATAACAGTTCTTGCCGAAACATTCTTTAAAATTAATGTATAGTAATTATATAAAATACCTATGAAATACTTAATTAAGAGGGGCAGCAAAATCGCTACGCCACTGAAGCTTACGAATACAGCAAATATTGACTAATGAGCCTTCTACAAGGGGGTCAAGGGCGGCTAGTATATGCTCAAGTTTGCGGTGTTGAACAGGATATATCTACCATCAAGTGACAGGTGTGCGTCCACGTCTTTCACCTCGGTAATACTTGGAACCATTAACAGGCAACGCACAACACGATCTACCTTGTGATCCAAGTAGCGAAATCATCTGTCGCAACCTTTCCAGTGCATTCAAACACGGAAAAGGAATCCTCATACCTATGTATCTCATGATTCTCTCCTGATAAACATTTCCTACTCTGATCCTCCCCTCCTTACAAAATTCCTTAGGCTGACCTATAAAAGCCTCGGTTCTATCAGTGGGTGGGGGGCCAGCCGATAGATTAACTAGCCCCTCAGTTGATCGTCGTAAGGGGGGGTGAAAGAGTCCTGGGGGGTTGAGCGAAGCGAGGTCGGCGGTCGACCTTCGCAACGCAACACTCCCTCTTTGGTCTGGATTTCAACCGAAACGGCAGCCCCTCTGGGTAGCGCCAGAGGGGAAACGGTCAAGCGTCCCGTCAGAGGGTCGCTGCAAGATGTGGGGGGGGGGGTCTGGTGCAGTTTTCTGTGCTGGATAGTTAGGGTCATGCTGACGAGGTGAGGATGAGTGGAACAACTGAGGGACTCTGAACCGGTAACCCAGCCACTCATTTCAAGCTTCCGATGTCACACCTGAATACTAACTTCCTGCATCTATATCCAGTCCGTAGTCCTAGTGTACCTTTTTAATGGGACACTCCCAGATATGTTCAAAACACCGTCACAATCAGACACCAATACACCCTCTCATGAGTTGGTCTTAATGGCGTCCTCAGGAGAGCACAACACGCCTGAAGGGCTTACAAACGACACCTACACCCCAAGAGTGCCCCAGTGTGCTTATCCCAAGCTTGTCCCAAGCACACTGCTGGAGCCAGGTTGGAAACAAGTGGGCAAAAGGGTGGAAAGGCGGCAGAGAAAACTCTGTCTACCACTGCCCAGGCTGCTCTATAAGTGTCCAAATGCAAGGAGAAGCAGAAGGCCCGGATGCAAAGGAAGAAGTAGCGCAGGAAGGAATCCCGAATGTCAGCTTCTTCTAGCAACCAAATTGCCCCGAACACCGACACGGTGGAGGGAACGCAAGGGGGAGCGAAAGGTGGGAAACAGGGTAACCTACCACTGCCCAAGCAAGCCCAAACGATGCCCACTATCATTCGGGACAAGGAACCGAGAACGTATGGGGGAGCGAAAGGCAACTTGTTGCCTGAGCAAACCCAAGCGGGATCGTAGGCAAATCACGGTAGGGACCGCCCACTGTCAAAGGGGAAAGGGAAAGGCAAAGTCCAACGCCAAGAGGGCCCGACTCAACGAGACTGTGTCTCCGAGGGGAGAACCCAAAAGGCCAAAGACGGAGTCGTCGACTGGACCTGGAGCTCTAACTCCATCTCCAAGCGCACCTACGCTTCCGCAACATCGGCAACTGTGACCGCCACCACGTCCGAAACTCGATTCACTGTGACGTCGAGCGAGGGGTTCATCTCTCGTGAGACGGCTTAGCTAGTCGAGGAGAAGATTGAGGAAGGGATCATGTAGATTGCCAGTGAAACTGCGTTCCGCGAGTGTTCCAAGGTCGCCCTGGTGTTTAGTGGGAAACCGCTTTACGCTGACGGCTGTCTAAGGTACACAGGCGGCAACACACAAACCCTGGAGTGGGTAAGACAGCAGGTACGGAGCGTACAGAGCCCAGATGGAGGAAATCTTGTTGTCCTTAGGGCGGAAGAGATCCCCAAACGGGTTAGGTGCGGCTTCGTTCTGCAAATAAAGATCGGGTTATGCTAAGCAAATGCCTGGCGATCGGGAATCCAGACCTCAACATCGAGAGATGGTTGCTCAACGGTGTCCACCTGCAGCCAAAATTCGAGGCAACCTTCGTCCTCCTATCGATACCTGAGGAAGACGTATCCGCGATTCTGGCTAAGGGGCGCAGACTATTTTATGACGGGGTCCGTGTACCTGAAGTTCAGGGACGCGAGAGGGAAGTACGTCGACACTCCGCCGACGAACAACCAATATAGGCCGCCACTTCTGCGCTGACACCCACACCGGCACCCACGCCCGATGCCGGCCTACCACACGCCACCGCAACATCCTCGGTGATTCCAGATGACGCCATCCCTGGCCCTCACACGAGGCTTCATCGCCTCTGAGTGAGGGATGCCTCCTGGGATTGAGCGAGCTGGAGATCGAGGACGTCAATTGCGAGGACGTTAGCGTCCCACTGCAGTAGTGTGAAAGTACTGCAAGCAAACCTCCAACACAGCAGCACCGCAACGGCTCAGCTTCGGAGATGGTTGGAGGTAAATACAACAGCGGTCGCACTTATCCAGGAGCCGTGGATCAGGGGTGAGATAAGAGGAGTTTCCAGTTTGGGATGTAAGCTCATTCAAGCCACTGCTAATGACGTAAGAACCTGTATATAGACTACCGAAGACATTAGAACACAGCCTTTAACGAATTTCTGTTCCAGAGATCTCTGCGCCACAAGGCTAACAATGAAACATGATAATTATAACTGCGATATGATCCTAGCGTCTGCTTACATGCACTAAAAGGAGCGAGTCGCACCAGAGGAGGTCGCTTCACTTGTCCGCTTCTGCGCGCAGGAAAATGTGGAACTGATCATCGCAACGGATTCAAACGCTCATCACCCCCTGTGGGGAATGGAGAAAAGCAACATCAGAGGTAACCAACTTGTTGAATTCCTTCTAACCACTAACTTATTGATAATGAACAGAGAAAGCGAACCCAACTTTGTAAGCAAGATCGGCAGCTCTATAATTGATCTTACTCTCGCGACCCCGGAAACGGTGCCAGTGATATCGGAATGGCACGTATCGAAAGAGGCGTCATGCTCTGATCATCGGTGGATTCGGTTCGACTTACAGGTACCGATCACTAACCCCATCCCAAAAAAACTAACAAAATCCATTACAATCGTTTGGTGTCAGAGAAACTGTGTACGAGCTGCGAAAACGGTAGAATCGACACCACGGTACGAATAGAACAGCAGGTAAATATGGTTTCCGATTGCATTCTTGAATGTCACAAGGAAGCCTGCCCTCTCAAACTTCCGAAATCCAACGGTTCGGGTAAACACCTTTGGTGGGGTCCCGAGCTATAGAAAATAAGAAACTCTTCAGCTTTATAATATTAGTATAGAAGCAAGGTGAAGAAAAAGTTTACCGAGCCATGAACACCCGGAGTGAACTACAAAGCCATTAAAACTAAGTACAAAAAATGTATTAGATACTGGAAAACAGCCTCTTGGCGTAGCTTCACCGAAGAGATAAATTCCACAAAACAGGCAAATAGGTTAAGGAAAATTTTAGCGAAACAAGGTCCCGGTATATTGAGAACTCTCCGAAGACCTGACGGCACGATGTCCCAAAGCGAGGATGAGTTCAATCACATCCTACTACAGACCCATTTCGCAAACTGTCAATGATGTCACGCCGACACCGACGGAAAGATGCTGGCGCCTTGTCACAGAAATTGTAACGTTCTTCTCTCCCTTTAAGGCGGCAGGAAGCGACGGCATCTTCCCAGCACTATTACAATGGGGAGGCGAGGCCATTGTCACAGCATTCATCTGTATACTACAAACGTGTCTTGCTCACCGATACACGCCACACAGATGGAGAGAAGTAAAGGTAGTATTTATACCCAAAGCGGGAAAACCCGACTATACTAACCCCAAATCTTTCCGGCCCATCAGTTTAACATCTTTCCTACTCAAAACTCTGGAAAGACTATGTGACAGATTAATTAAGATAATTGTGGGAGAACCACGCTTCGGCATGAATGGGCCGGCTCGACCGGAGTGATACCACGGCCTCACAGAAAACCGACGTGAAGCAACGCTTGCGTTGTGTTTCGTCGTGTGAGTGAGGGTACCGGAGGCCCAAACCCTCCCTATTCCCTTCCGTCTACCCCTCAACCCTTCCCTCCCTATGATCATATTCGTCCCTCAAAGGCCGGCGGCGCGCTTGTAGCCCCTCTGTTGTTGCAGGTGTCCATGGGCGACGGTAATCACTTACCATCAGATGATCCGTCTGCTCGTCTGCCCCCTATCACATAAAAAAAAACAGATATGTACGATGTGGTGCACTGAGCATTTCTCCAATACATAAACATCAACACGCCTACTTAGCAGGTAAATCTACAGAATCGGTCCTCCATCAACTAGCCGGTAAGATAGAAATGGCCCTTCACAACAAACTCATCTGTTTTGGCAATTTCATCGATATCGAAGGTGCCTTTGATGGAACCGACGTTACCGCATTGAGGCGGCTCTCAAAAACATGGAGTAAAGCCACAAGTTATAGTCTGGATCGTGAATATGCTACGCAACAGGATAGTTCGGGTGGTAGGTGAGGACAGTACGGGGGAGTACTCTCGCCGCTACTGTGGAACCTGGTGGTCAACGACCTTATCACACTCCTGAATGCAAACCATTTCTACACCATAGGGTATGCCGATGATATCACAATATTAACTCTAGGCACCCGTGCTGGTATAACCTGCAACACCATGCAAGCCGTCCTGAAAGAGAGTCGAACGCTGGTGTGAAAAGTATGACCTGACCGTGAATCCTGCAAAAACGGAACTGGTAATGTTTACAACCAAACACAATGTAGGCACGTTTCACCTACCGAAACTATTGGGTACAACACTACAACTGTCCAAGGAGGTAAAGTATCTAGGAATAACCCTTGACAGTAAGTTAAACTGGAACAGCTACATAGAACACAAAATTAAATCAGCGAGCGTCATCCTGTGACAATGCCGCAAAATGATCGGGAAGCGTTGGGGACTTGCGCCAAAACTGTTCTTGTGGCTCTACAACACAGTAATACGACCGATGGTAAGTTATGGTGCTATTGTTTGGTGACCAAAAACTACTCAGTCCTCCTGTGAAAACAAACTGCAAAGCTTCCAACGGAAGGCGTGCTGACAAGAATCGTTCATCTTTGACAAGAAATACAAGATACATCTTACGGACAGTGACGATCCAAAGGTAACACATAAGGCCCTCACAGTCTTCACGGACGGCTCCAAAACCTCATCAGGCACGGGGGCTGGTGTATTCTCTGAGGACTTCAACATACATCTGTTCTTGCCCCTCAGCCCATACAATACAGTCTTCCAGGTTGAATGTATGGCGATCACCCTGCCGGCGAGAGCGATAACTACAAGGAAGGTAACATCAGATATCCGGATCTTCTCGGACGGATCAGAAATCCGGATCTTCTCGGACAGTAAATCAGTCCTACAGACTCTGAAAAAAGGAAGTTCTGTCTGATCGAGTCTTCTACAGGAGTGTCACCAGGTTCTAAACATAGTAGGGACACACAATATTATTACTATCCAATGGATAAAGGGACACAGTGAATCACATGGAAATAATGCAGTTGATGAACTGGCACGCAGAGGATCAGACGCAACACCAGTGGGCCCGGAACCGATCATTCCTATTTCGGTAAGCTGGTTAATTGGTAGGATACGTGAACACTAGAGTAATCAACAGTACTGGCACACTTTTGAAACCTGCAGGCAGGCCAAACTTGCACTACCCCGAGTGAACGGTCACCTCTCCAAAGCTCTTTTACAGCTAAGTAAATCATATTTGCGCTTGGTAACGGGTGCTATTACTGGTCATGGCAACTTTAACAGGCACCTTTTCAATCTAGGTGTCACTGACAGCCCCTTGTGCAGAGGATGCATGGAGGCGGAAGAAACAGCCACTCACGTCCTGCTGGAATGCAACGGAGTGGCCAACTACCGGGCAAAGCACCTCGGCTTGTCGGGCAACCATTCAGAGGCCATCACAGATGTCAAGGCGCTGGGAGCGTTTCTAGCAGAGCTGGGGCTGGCTGGAATAGTATCCGGCCAAACACGCTCCACACGCAAAATAGGTGCAATTTGGCCGTCGAGTTGCGGCGACGCCCGTTGAAGAAAGAAGACTAAGAGTCTTCCACAGTCGTCAACCGTCTTATCGTATGCGGACGATTAATTTACAATTTTAATCGCTTATGATTTATCACAGTTCACAACATAGTGTGGTGCCGCCATATAATAAATGGCAACATTGGCATTAATTTGGCAATTTTGGCATTTAAGCGCACGAAAACATGGTTGTTTTTCAGCTTTCTTCACCAGACATTATTTTGACCATTGTTTATCATTGAATTTTTGTTTTCTTTTTAAATAGGATGAATTCAATAAAAGATATTTAAATAATATCTATCTTCTTATGTACATAATTAATGTAAATAACTATAGAAGATAGCGTCTCGCAGTGCTTTTTAGAGTAAAGTTGTTATTAGTATTAAACATGACTTTTACCTTTATTCAGTGACTAAAGTAAGTTTTTTGTTACGTGAATGTTTATATGTATTGTTTTAATAAAAATCCATTTTATTATAAATGCTTAAAAAGGTGTTAATCTTGATCAAAGTTTTGACGTGTCGTTTTTGGTTTCGAGTAATGGCCGCCATGTTTGTCGTTTTTGTAATTTGGTTGAACATGGTTACCAATAGGCTCAATTTGATGTATTTTTGAGAAGCTACATTGTTTTCTACATATGACAAACTGTTTACTATATAAACGGTGTACCTCAAGTAGAGGTATTGTGTATCTAATGTGGAATGTCATTGACATTTTTTTTCGCGTCCTTTGTTGTTCAGGGGTAATTCAGAATGGTTGTTGGATCAGCGTCGTATCCAGGGAGGCAAGTGCTCCACAAAATGCAGCCAATGGGTATGACTCCTCGAGAGCTGTCGGAGTATGACGACTTGGCGACTGCACTCATAGTGGATCCATATCTTGGTATCACTACGCATAAAATGAATATTCGCTATAGGCCTTTAAAAACAAATAAGGAAGAGTTGAAAAACATTGTAAAAGAATTCATTCAAACCCAAGACTACAGCAAAGCATACTCCAAATTAGCTAATGGTGAATGGATGCCAAGGCACTTTAGTAAAAATAAACACCAACAAAGCAAGTTAAGAGAACATGTTAGTGCATATTATTATAAACTGTTTAGTAATTAGTATATTTGCTTATTGGTAACAGTAACATATTTTCTATTATTTCAGATATACCGATACTTGAGAGTTTTTGATAAGAAAGCTGGTTTTGTCATTGAACCATGTTATAGATATTCCTTGGAGGGTCAAATAGGAGCAAAAATTTCAACCACCAAGAAATTTTTCAAGCATGAAAGGATAGACTTCTTAGTTGGTTGTATAGCAGAGATGACAGAAGATGAAGAAAAACAGTTGCTTCACCCTGGTAAAAACGATTTTTCTGTGATGTATAGCTGTAGAAAAAACTGTGCCCAGCTGTGGCTAGGGCCTGCAGCCTACATAAATCATGATTGTAGACCTAATTGTACATTTGAGGCCACTGATCGTGGCAAAGCATTTGTTCGTGTTTTAAGAGACATTGAGGTAGGAGAAGAAATCACCTGTTTTTATGGGGAAGATTTCTTTGGAAATGGTAATTGTTACTGTGAATGTGAAACTTGTGAGAGGCGTGGAAAAGGTGCATTTTCTGTAAAAAGTGAACATAATGAAGAGCAAGCAACTAGGTATAGATTTAGAGAAACTGATAACAGAATTAATAGGACAAAGGCTAAACAAAGCCAAAAAAATGAAAATGGAAAAAATAGTGAAAAGACGAGAGTTTCTAGCAGGCAAAACCTTAATATTGTATCTCCACTGAGCATGAAAGAAATGAAACAAAAGGGTTTAACTAAATATGATGCTGAATTATTAATAGCTCAGGGATGTATTGCTGATGTAGTAGATTCATCTGTTAGTAAAGAAGCGCAAAGTAGTAGAGAATCATCTGCTTCAAGTCGTGGAGATCGCTTAAGAAGAAGAACTGATAGTAATCGAGTGACCAATGGGACAGTTTCATCACCTGCTAATACAAAACGTAGAGCACCTCCTTCAAGATGTTGTAGTACCACTAGTTCTCGAAGTAGTCGTGATTCACATTCAGGTATAGTCTTGAGAAGTCATAAACGCCTCATAGATACAGGCTTACAAACAACTTGCCCTAAAACAAAAAGTAATATTAAAGAAATGGTTGTGGTTACGGAAGAAAATCATACTACTTCTAAAGAAGAATCTATTCCAATTAATAATTCAGAGATGACAAATAATTTGACTGAAACGGAATCTACAAATACACATGAAAAGAATAATTTATTGGAACCAGTGTCTGGTACTACAGAATTAGTAAATGCTGACCATTGTGATACTAAAGAATCTCTGCAGCAGAATATACAATTAACTCCTGAAATAAATAATATAACAAATGAAGATTGTACTGATGGAAAGATAAAGCAAGTTGAAGATGAAGGCATAAGTGATAATGTATGTTCTAAAAGTGAAATTTATGACTTTAGAGAAAATATTAATCCAAGTGAATCAACAAAAGATAGTAAAATAAATATTAAAACATATAAAGTAGAATCATCTAATCGAAATGAAGAATCAAATAAAGAATTAGAACCTGGACCTCCTTGGTTAGCTGACAATTCTAATAAGAGTAGTGAGTGTCCTTGCACTCCTCCTCGGAGAGGTTTGAAACTGACGTTGCGTGTAAAACGGAGTCCAGTTGTTGAAGAGGTGATGGATTGTGGTGCCCCAGCAGAGGTTCCAGAGTATGAAGTATTACGGCTGGAAGGCGTCGACCCGGAGACAGTGCGACGGTTTAAGAAGCGACGCCGTTCCAAAGAACGTCATCGTAAGCACAGCCCCATCCGTCCCTTGCCCCCTATGAAACGCTTAAGGCTTATTTTTGGTAATGAGAGTCGTACTATTGATTTGCCGACTGCAATATCTGCAGACTGACAGCCGCAATTACCTTATGGTTATTATTCCACCGTTATTCAATTATTAGTTTAATTGTCACTGACTAGGATAACTTATCTAATATTTATTTCATGACATGAAATTATGAATAAGTATTGTGTGATAGACATCAGATTTTATTCAAAAATTCCAAGGACATATTTATTGATGAATAGTATGAAATGGTTTTTTCATTAAGTTTTTATTGAGCATCATACTCAATAAAAATATTTGTCACATGCCCTAAACGAAAGTTATTGTTTTTACTACTGTATTACTTTTTCATTTTCACTAAAGTAATTGCAATTCCTACTTACAGCAGAGCTCTAAGTTTGGCCATATAATTTATAAAATTAAAAAAATCATTGGCACGATAGTTGAACAGTATGGCGCTGCGTAAATTTTTGTAGTATTGCAAACGCACACCACCACAGTTAAATATACTTACAGTATTAAAGATACCTATTTTTAACTATCTAAGTTTACGACGTGTATATTGGTATGGGTTTAAATGCCTGTAACCAACAAACATAGGTATTTAGGTACTATTCTACCAACCAAAATGCCTTGTGTTGAATACATACGTCCATCGCGAATCTTGGGCTATATTTAGACATGCTTTTTTATTCACTAGCGCAGAAGCAATTGTGTATACGGCGTAAAAGATATAATTTTATAAGATTGAATCTTTAATACTGCTAGACTTTAAAGCCTTTGTCACATTTGCATGATTTTTATGTGTTTGTGGTATTAAAAATTAATTTTAGTATACATACAAAATGTAATTTTTCGTATACTTTATACAAAATCAAAACATCAGTCCAGAATACGTAATTGTAATTTCAGGGATTTAATTGATAGAATAATTTCTGAAAATTTGGGGTGATCAGTTACGTGTCTTATTTACGTTTATTATTAAAACTCACATTTATTGGATTTAAAAGTTTCCACACAGATGCGTAAGTTCGGCATAGGCTTAGCATAGCTTAGCTAACACAGAGTGTAATGCAATTTTCGAATGGCTGTTATAGTTCCAGGTTCTCTGCATCATACAACTAGATACTCCTCTTGATTATCACCTGCGGAATGCTTTCCCTGAACAGCTCTATTATTGTCAATCTTGATGTAAATTGTACGGTTTTTTCCCTGACGTTAATTACGTCTGGATTTCGATTTTGTTCCTGTTTGAGTTCTATTTTTCTATTTTTGATTCGGCATGGGTTGGTTTTCATTCAGTTTTCCCGACTGAAAGCTCTCGGTAGTCTCTGCATCAGAACCTCTTCCTGTATTGTTTGTGTATATGGATATAACATTAAATATCTTCGGATTCCATTACCGTAGCGAATGTCATAGTGTACTTTTATTGTTCTAATCTTGATCTGTGCATGAGTCGATTCTTAGTTTACTTTGTAACTGAATGTAACCAGTTTAATGAGATTTCAGTAGTACTACATTGTCACTCCTATTTGATCTCAGTGATCTTACTCTCGAATGCAATCGCGATAGAGCGACATTGCAATTGTGCCGTTTCTTTCTCTTGATTAGCTAGCTAGCGTCAGAGTATGCTAGTCTACCCAGTTAAGAGTACAATTGCAATTTCGGCACGATTGCAATTTCGATCGATCGCGATTGCGTTCGAGAGTACAGGGGCTGATATTGAAATTTTCCATTGTCATTGAAAGACATTTGACGATATGACCCACGCTCTTGTTTTCGTTATATTATTAGAAGAGTATAAAACATCTGTGGTTTTATAGAATCTAATTCGTCCTAGACTTCAAGAACAACGTCGCATTTAATAGACTATAGGGCATGATGGTAACTGAAATGCTTAAATGTCCTCCCATCTCATCCATAGCACAGATGTGGGTTTGTTAAAAGATCAATAAATCTTGTTTAAAAATAACCAACCCAATTTGAATGTAAATAATTTTTTTAGTGGTTTACAGAAATTTTATAGAAGTGTTATGTAATTCTCTTTCTTGATTCAAAATACAGAAGGAATATCTAGTCCTTGATTTTGACGTATGGATAGAATAGAAACTGATCTTTTAACAAGTACTCAATAGAAAATTATCGAGGTTCTGTTTTTCTAGTTAGTTTCCTTCAAAATTTTCCATACAAAGTTGGACAAATCATTTTAACAATCAATAGGGATGACGACTAATTTTTGTTTGTTTGTCCGTCAGGTAGAATGTAAAAAAATATTAAACACGTTTTTTTTTTCGTAATCATAAAATTACGGCGTTACATGGAGTTGAAATTTCGCATGACGTTACAGTAAGTTTTCTAACAAAATGTGACGTAGCGAGCCCCCACTCCTCAACTTTAATGCCTGTTATCTAATTTCTTGTTAAATTGAAGTAGAAAAAAATACGTATCTAATATTTTTCTATTACCTGACTGACGGACTAAATAGAATTGCATTTTTTTACCCAGTCGTCATCCCTATTGAATTGAGCAGAGTTTGTGATAATCACAATTGAGGATTATTGTTCTATTTTATATTTAGATCTTATCTATTTAGAAGCATGCGTTACTTTATGTGACGGTTCTTCCGTCGAGTGTGCAATATTGTTTAGATATCATTTCACATTTCTGACGTTCCATGACGGACTATCTTACGTCAGATATTCATCTACCTTCAAGGCGCCATATATTTTAACGTTTCGTTATCTGAGTTAAATCGTTACGACATGAGAGATGCTAGCTTCAGATCAGTGATGCTAGAAGAAAAAAGTTTAGCTGAAAAACACGCACGTGAAGAACAGTCCCTTCACATCCGTTTATTAAGACAAGTAAATTATAACGATAAAAATAACTGTTATTTGCTTACTAGCTTTATTGATTATTAATGTATTTTTGGAATCTAAACGGCGTAGTAAGGTAGAGTGTCAAAACCGAATGAAAACTCCAAAAATCTAGCTCCGAACTAGGTAACATTTCGGACATATAATAATATCGAATGCTTCAACCACCATCTAATGATGGCGAAGGCACCTCAAATGAGTCGAAATAGTCTGAAAAAAAATGGTTTCAGACCCATTTCCTTTTTATTTATCGCATCTTTTGTATATTTATTGTGATTTTGAGTTTAAGTAATTTTTCTAAAAAGTATAATTGTGTGGATGATTTAATTTTACATGTTTTTATGAATGCAGTAGCTAGAATTTTTTAACTGTCGTGAATTCCTTGACCGTGAGTACAGTAGCGCCACATTTATAACTGTTTAAAAATTTAGCTTTGGAATGGTTATGTAAATTGAGCTCTAAACTTTACTAAGAGGCTTTTAAATTAAATTCAAAATTCATAAAAATTGCGCTGTTGTACAGATGGACTGAGATAAATTCGCCACGTAACATAAGACAATTACGCCTAATGCTTCTATAACGGGGTAATAAATCACTATTTATTTCTAATTTTAAATTAATTTATTTTTCTTGAAACTGGCAATGTATGTAGTAAATTCATATAAATTGTGTTGCTCTTGATTTTCTAACGAACAGACAAACTATATCCATTGTGTTGACCAAAATTTTGGCGTATCGCAAGAAATGGATGATTTCATTAAACGACTAGAAAACTGCAAATTTTATAATATTTTCAGTGGCTTGTGATTAGGATTAAGATTAGATAAAATTGCGACTGAATTGTCCATGAATTTTTTTCTTATCTTAATTTATTTTACTATAAAGACTGTTCACAAAAGTGGAATGATTTCAGTATAAGCTCGAATCTGCTAGATTAAATTTTATGAATGTAAATATTTTATTTTAATTTTGTTCATACACTTGACATTCTTTCATTTCCCGTTTTTATAAACCTAGTAGTACAGGGGTCTATGTAGGCACGAATTTACGCAGTCTACTTACTAGGCTAGTGCCGTTGAACAAAATTTAAGTTTAAAATTATTGCTTACAACTTTGTCGGCATAGTCTTTAAATGTTAACTAGTACAATACTAAAGCTCCTGTGCGCGTTAAATAGCTAACCTTATAGTATTACCTAACTAGTTAGCTGATTTTTAGTACAACATTAGCACCATTCTTCAGTAACATTACAATATTGTCATTGTCTGCCTTTAAGTCCGCAATGTTACTAATAATGGACAGAATAGTCTGATAGATTCATCACAAAGTTATTGATTTAGTATTTTTTGATTTCATAATGTATATTGAAATACCTACTTAATATCAGTTTATGTCATTTTACTTAAATGTAATGCGAAAATTGACAATGTCCCTTTGGTGTATCTGTAATTAACGAGTAATTTAGTTGTCACTCAGTTTATCATGATTTCTCACCTTCTGTTGAATTTTTAACACAACCATCGTTGTACAGGGAATCTATACCTTAATGGTTGATGGTCTCTATTTCTATTTTATACCTGTAACATACGCAGTCTAGTGAAAACAATATTTTGAATTTGGCAAATTAACGATCAAATTAGTGTAATTTATAATAAATAGCATTTAAAAATGTCAGCTGAAACTGCCCTACTTCATATGTTATTGTTGTTTATTGTGTACAATATTATTAGTTCAATTGTTTATCAATAAAGACTATTAGTAGAATTAATTAATGTATAAAGTTTTAGGAACTATGTAATTAATAAACAATTTTTTATTACTTGGACGCGCATACAATTTAAGGTTTTATATTAATTTGATATGTAGCACGCTAAATATTATAATATGATTTAACACATTAACAATGGACATAGAGGACAGCGATGTTTCAGTTGTATAAATGTGTATTTACCTGTATAAATATTGTACCTAATTGGTTTAATTTGATTGTATTAAATCTATCGATAGATCATGGTATGATGAAGTTCTGATAAATAAAGAATTATAAGGATGGCCTTAGTAAGGCTACATTGGTTAACATCTGAAACTGATTTATTATTTTTTTATCTCCCGTACGATGTATGTGTGAAAGAATTTTTTAAATCGGTCGATGTAAACATACAATAAATTTTTTCTTTAATGATATTAGTATAGATTTAACATTTAAGTTTATCCAATCCTTAAATGTTCATCATCATTATTAGCCCTTTTACGTCCCCACTGTAGGGGCTCAGACCTTTCTTATGAATGGTTATGGAAGATGGGCCATGACCCTCCTCCACGTTGGTTGAATGCGGGTTGGAGGGTATTAACGTCTGTAAATGCAGCCTGGACCGACGGCTTAACGTTGGTTGAATGCGGGTTGGAGGGTATTAACGTCTGTAAATGCAGCCTGGACCGACGGCTTAACGTGCCTTCCAAAGCAACGGAGTAGCTCTGAGATTATAAATTTTGTTCACACATCCCGTGATAGACCCTTGCGAATGTTGCTTAAAAACAGGATCTCGGGCCGTGGCGCTTATCCAATACGCCATAGCTCTTACTTATCCAATTTTAGAAATTGATAAGTTAAAATGTAACGTAATACCCCGAGAAGCTCGAAGGTAGCGCGTTCGGTCTGCGATGCGGAAGTTAAGCAACTTTAGCAAATGCTGGTCACAGGATGGCTGACCAAAAATCTACAATCTTCTTGCTTCGGAAGACAAGTTAATCGGCTGTAATTGTGTTTATGTGTGAAAATGCAACCTTATACAAAACGCAAAACACGGCAATTTTTTAAATAATTTAATTACAGTCGCAAAACTCAATATATGAATTTTATTAGATGGTTATGTTGGTATGAAATACATATACATATAACGGTGAAATTATTCCGTTTCAGGCCAGTGTTAAGAATCTGGGCCTGCACATCGATTGTACTCTTAGCTGGGAGGTGCAGATTGGTGAAGTGTGCCGAAAAGTTATCAACACACTTAGATCTCTTTATAGGCTAACATTTTTTCTCCCATTCAGCACTAAAATCGCACTGGTGCAGACACTCATTTTACCTATCCTCGACTACGCTGACGTCTGCTATTCTGACACCAATCAATATCTTCTCAACAAATTGGATCGTCTGCTCAATAGTGCTATTCGTTTCATATATGGCCTTCGTAAATACGACCATATCTCTGATTTCAGGAGGCAACTCGGTTGGCTGACTATCTTTCAACGCAAAGACCTACGAATTCTGTGCATGCTTTATAATATTTTATTCGATCCATGTACCCCAGGATATTTGAAATCTAGGTTTCGTTATCTTGGTTCCGGTCATGAACGTAATCTTCGCTCTAGTAGCAATCTAACTCTTCAAACCCCCTTTCATCAGTCTTCATTTATTTCTAATTCCTTTACCCTCACAGCTATTCGCCTTTGGAATGCTCTTCCGTTTCGCATTAGAAATGCTCAGAGTAAGGTGATATTCAGGAAATGGGTGCGTGAGCACTATCTCGGACTGTAATTGTATCGTTCGCATTCTGTATGTTATTTATGTGTATGTATTTGTAATTAGTATTCATGTAATTATTCAATATTTATATTTATATATTTTTTTATTTTGAAATTTTATTTTTTACTGGATATATCAATCTTTATCGCCTAACATGCAAATCCAACATTCGCTCAGGTTGACTGGTAGAGAATGCCCTTGGCATTAAGTCCGCCATTTGTATTATTTTTATTTAATGCAATAAAGAGTAAATAAATAAATAAATAAATTGACGCTGGAAAGCAAACACTTACCTGCATGTGTCGAAAATGGCCATAATATTGTTATTAAGCAATGACATTAAACTACAATATTAGATGGGCCTTTAGCTTTAAATATGTTTTCGAGTTAACAATTAACGCTATCTGTTATTGGTTAGTAACTAACAATTTTCAACCATTGAATTAATAAAAATTGGTTCGAAAATCCGACTACAGCTAAATTACACTCTAAAATCCTTTCATTGGATACCCTACACGGAATGATTGAATAATATATTTTAGTTTCTTACTTTATGCTTTCTAGAGGGTGCTGTTGCCAATTGAATGTTATGTCACATAGCCTATAGCATAAGGACACATAGCCTATAGCTGAAAATGTCAACTGTCTAGCTATCACAGTTTATGGGCTAGCTTGGTGACAGACAGCGAACGGTCTTAGTACAGAACCAAAATATTAGACGTAGGTAGGCCGGCTCACCTTATTAACACAGATTTCAGTAAGGTGTTTGTTGAATGATGATGTACCATACAATATAGTAGTTGGCTAGGCTATGGTTTTACGGGTTCACTCCTAAATTGACTTTAATCATATTTAACAGGACAATCCTGTTGATTTTGTTGTTATGAATGGTTACGAATCCGAAGTTTTGCATAAATTCAACTGCTCTGTAGTGTTTCAATTTCCCTCTAATTCTTTTTAATTATGTACAATAACGATATACATAAAAAACTATCGCTTTATGTATGCCGATAATTTAAAAAGCTTAAAAATTGTAACCACATTCATCATCATCATCATCAGCCGGAAGACGTCCACTGCTGAACATAGGCCTCCCCCTTTGAACTCCACGACGGACGACATTGCGCCAGCTGCATCCAGCGGCCGCCCGCGACTCGGACGATGTCGTCCGTCCATCTAGTCGGGGGTCGACCCACGCTGCGTCTTCCGGTTCGTGGTCTCCACTCGAGAACCTTTCGTCCTCATCGGTTATCGGTTCGTCGAGCGATGTGGCCTGCCCACTGCCACTTCAGCTTACAAACTTTGCGAGCTATGTCGGTCACTCTAGTTCTTTGGCGAATATCCACGTTTCGGATCCTATCGCGCAAAGAAACCCCTAACATAGCTCTCTCCATGCCTCGCTGAGCGACTCTGAGCTTCTCTAAGAGGCCAGCAGTTAAGGACCACGTTTCAGTGCCATAGGTCATCACTGGCAACACACACTGGTTATACACCTTCGTCTTTAGGCACTGTGGTAATTTGGACGTGAAGATATCGCGTAGCTTCCCGAACGCTGCCCAGCCGAGTTGGATTCTTCGAGCGACCTCTTTGTCGAAATTGGATCTACCTAACTGGATTGTCTGTCCAAGGTACACGTAGTGATCGACAACTTCGAGAGTATCAGTTCCAATGACCACCGGTACGGGTGCAACATGGACATTCGACATGATTTTTGTCTTGTTCATGTTCATTTTAAGACCCACCTGATTGGAAACGATACTCAGGTCGCTGAGCATTGTATTGATGTGCTCCATCGATCTTGCCAAGATGACTATATCATCGGCGAAACGAAGGTGAGTGATGTATTCGCCATTGATGTTGATGCCGTAGTCGTCCCATTCCAAGAGCTTGAAGACGTCCTCCAATGCATTCGTGAACAGTTTCGGAGAAATGACATCTCCCTGTCTCACGCCTCTGCGCAATTGGATTGGTTTCGTGCTCTCTTCCTGGTAGCGAATCGACATTGTGGCGTTGCTATACAAACGCTTCAACACTTCGACATACCTGTAGTCGATTTGGCATCGTTGGAGGGACTGCAGTACTGCCCAGGTTTCGATTGAATCGAAGGTTTTCTCATAGTCCACAAACGCTAAGCAAAGTGGCAAATTATACTCCTCGGTCTTCTGTATAATCTGCCGCAGCGTATGTATGTGGTCTATGGTGCTAAAGCCTTTTCGGAAACCGGCTTGTTCGGGAGGCTGGAAGTCATCAAACCGGCGTTCGAGACGATTCGTAATGACCCTCGAAAACAGCTTATAAACGTGGCTCAGAAGCGAGATTGGTCTATAATTCTTCAACAAGGTCTTGTCACCTTTTTGAAGAAGAGCACAACCACGCTTCTGTGCCACGCTTCTGGCGTCGTACCCTCGAGAATGACGGAATTGAACAATTTCTGGAGGACTAAGAGTACCGGTTTTCCACCCGCTCGCAAAAGTTCAGTAGTGATTCCGTCATCCCCCGGTGCCTTGTTGTTCTTCAGCTGTTTGAGTGCCATTCTGATCTCGTACAGGCTGATGTCTGGGATATCCTCGGTGTGATGTCGGGTCAGCTTTGCTCTGGTGTCCTGAGCATTGCTTCCAACGGGTTGTTGTGATGATGTGTACAACTGTCCATAAAACCTCTCAAGCTCAATCAGAATCTCCGGTTTTGAAGATACGATCCTGCCGTCGTCGATCTTCAGCTTCGTCATCTGACTCGACCCAGCAGACAAATTTCGTGCAAACACTTTGGAGCCTTGGTTCCGCTCTATTGCCTCCCTAATACGTGTAGTATTATAGGAGCGCAGATCGCGTCGCATCGATTTGGAAATTCGTCTGTTAAGTCGACCATATTCCGACATATCGGTTGAAGATTGCAGTCTCATATCCCTCCGGTCCGCCATCAACTTGAGCGTTTCGTCTGAGAGCTTTTGAGATTTAATACGGCGCGGGGCCTTATAGAACTTAGACCCCACAGCTTGGACTGTTTCTACAAACCCGTTGTTTATTTCGTCCACAGACTCGCATTCAGCTAGACACTGAAAGCGATTGTGTAGTTGGAGTTGGAAGGCTTCGGGGTCCATGATATGAGCAGCACTAGGACGGAGCGTAGACTTCATCAGACGTGACCTTTCGAGCTTAACATTGACATTCAATGTGCCTCTAACGATTCGGTGATCGCTACCGGTTTTCACCCTGCTGATCACGGAGACATCATTGAATATGTGCTTTCTGGTTGTCATGATGAAGTCGATCTCATTTTTTGTCGAACCATCAGGGCTCATCCAGGTCCACTTCCTGGAGGGTCTCTTCTGGAAGAAGGAGTTCATCGCAAAGAGTCCCTCCTTCTCCATGAAATCGACCAGCTTCTGGCCCCGGTGGTTGCGCCGCCCATACCCAAATCGACCCACCCTCAACTCATCGCCGTTCGAAGCGCCCAGCTTCGCGTTAAAGTCCCCCATTACAACGGTGAAGTAGGTATTAGTCGTATGTATGGCTTCAGAAATCTCCTCATACATAGCCTCTACCTCAT